TTTAGAGACAGAATCTCACTGAGTTACTTAGCTCCTCACTTTTGCTGAGGCTAGCTTTGAACTCCAGATCCTCCTGTCTCAGCCTCCTGAGCCGCTGGGATTACAGACAGCCCCTGATAAGACCTACACGTTTTTTAAACTCTGATGTTTTGGAAGTCTAATGAAATTTAATTTGTAAACTTGTTTACTGCCTACGTGTCCCTATGTCATTGAAAGAGGTGCCTTCATAAAACCCTAACGAGCTTCAAAACTAATTAAGAAATAATTAATGTATTGGTATAACTGCTGTTCTTCACAAGACTATGCTACATAACAATAGATAACAGAAATTTCAACCTTATCATACTTTTTCCACACTGCTGAAATCTTAATTTTTTTAAGTCTTTTTTTTTATTCCCTTTAGGGAGAAATAGGTTATTAGGGATACACGAATATCGTATTGTAGGGGAATTCTGTCTCCACACATTACGTCTTCAACATTCGGTCTCTCTGCCCTCGGCTGGGCCGGGACGCGTGTTGAGGACTAAGTACTCACGTAGAACCACAGGAAGGCGGTGGTACCCAAGGTCAGCCCGACTTTCAGCCAGTCGGGCTGGTCGTTCGGCGGGTCCCGCAGGTAGAACTTGGACCGTGCACACGCTGAAAGGGAACACAGGCCGTCTAACTGACCGCGGGCAGGCGAAGGGGCCAGCAGTTACGCGTAACCGGGTAAATTCTTCCTTCGACCCCCCCATTCAACGGCCCAGGAAACGGGTCCTGAAGGACGCCCCGAGCCTCGCCAAGGGCGGCGACTCAGACCCGCGGAGGGCCGCAGGGGCACCCGAGGGGGACGTCCCCTCCTGGAGTGTGCGGGACCCAGCCTGCAGAGTGCGAGACGAGGACCCAGAGGATCCAGGTGGGTTCCGGATCGTGGCCGGCGAAGGTCACTAGGCCGAGCGCGGGTCGCCGCCGTCTGCTGCCCGCGGAGGTCAGGACCGCCCTGGGCAGGGGAAGGCTGAGGGTCCGGGGGGCCGGCAGGAGAAGGGACACTCACCGCCGCTCGGGAGCCTGGCGGGGGCCAGCAGCCGCGAGAAGTGGCGCAGCAGCGCGGACGGCGCCATGTCTACGGACAGGCTCCGCCTTCGCCCGCCCCCGGCGAGCCTGCGCGGCCGCAGCGCCCCCTGGCGGCGGGAGCGCTAGAGCTCGGCGCGGCGCGAAGGAGTCCAGTGGCCACGGTTCCCGGCGCCCCTGGCCCCGGTCTTTTGTCTTTTAAGTGGGGTTAGGAAGGAAATGGTTAAAGGGGCGAGGCAGGTAGCTTACCCACGTCTTTGGTCTTCGGAGGGTTTCTAGTCACCTCCCCCACCCCAAAGTTGACGAAACTGTTCCTAGGTGAGCCAGAAAGTGAAAGGAAGTGTCGCGCAGAGGTGTTTCAAGCCCCGTGCATTTACGCATGCATGGCCTAGGTTCCTTGGGTCTTTTCTTCTTCACCGGGATCCGGTGGTGACCATCAATTTACAGATTAGCTCACAGAAGAGGGCTCATCCAAGGCGATATTTCGTACCTTGCATTCGAAGACCTAAACAACAGTTCCTAAATGTGTTTACACTCAAGGTCATACTGAACACTGAGAGGTGGAGACAGTTCTGGGACAAGTGAAAGTGCCCTGACCAACCCAAGATCACACAGCTGGCAGAGGTGGGACCGAGTTCCAGGTGCTCTGACTCCAGCTCTGTGATCCTCTTAGCCCACCTAATAGGCCTGTACTAAACCACCATCTGGCCAGAGAGAGAGAGAGAGAGAGAGA